CGGAACAGAACGCTCTTTGTCCTTATACTTCTTTTAAATCAAAGTCTTCGAATCGCTAGCGTTTTCTTGCTCAACTCCCAGGTCGCGTCTCTTGTCAAGTTAAATTTCGACCTAGCTATGCGTGTTTCTTTGGTACGAAGAATGAGATCTGAAATTTTTGCTGTGTATTGCTTTTTCGTACTCAGAGTAAAATAGGCTGATTTCGAACTATAGGCTGGATTCACAAAAAGTATGTCAGTCTCACACGAAGTGACACTAAAGAGTTTGCTATCTGAGGACAACTTCTAAACAACCTTCCAGTGACTTCCTGGTTAAGATTATATTTTTGCCGCTTATGCTCATAGGATAAAAGATGGTCATGAGAAATTGGTGTAATAGTAACGGGAGTTCGTTCCTTAATTAATTTCTGCTCTAGAGAAAGATATGAGTTCATGCGGTGCAGTGCTTAGAGGTGCTCTGCGTCGCACACGAGGTCAGTGGTTCGATGTCGCGCTCATCATCACCAAGCCATCCATCACTCCAGGGTCGGTAAATTGATACCAAACAGTGCTCAGACTTGTCTGGGAGGATAAGCAACACTGACTCGCTACAGGCAGAGGCCACCGCGAGTCATTGTAAAAGACTAGATATGTATTCAATCACCTCAAACGAAGTTAAAAATTGAAGACTAGTGCATGCGCATCCTTCAGGGATTGATCATCGCCGGGAGCTTTTCCCTTTTATCCTTTAGAAAAAGGCGCAATTCCTTTCAGTTTGCGTTCATTTTCTCTGCTAAAGTGGGATGCATCACGTGATCTTGCAAGCAACCGGTAACCGGTTTTATCTGAGGAAGCTCCGTGGAGATTATCAATAGGTAATACTTAATAGCAAATGAACAATGTGGCACACAATACACTTTGATCGTACAGAAATTATTCAGCCATTTGAATATTTACTTGACGAGTAACTATAACAAGAGAAGGACTATTTGAGGGCTTGACTACAATGAATTATTGATGCAATAATTTGATAATGAAGAAGGACATTAAGGACATCGTTATAGTACATTGTAAGTAGTACGTCATCAACTAATGAATGATATGCACTTTACTCTAAGATTTGTTTGAGTCTTTTCAAGGTTGATAGATGAAGAACAATGAAGGAGCCTCACTACAATATACTGTAGGTGTAAATTATGCCATTAGCAAAGGAAATTCATTTCAACACAAAAAAGGTGGAGGTGTGTAAGCAAAATAATGAATTTTTCATTCAATTGCGAAACGTTTTGTTATATAGGATGTGCCGAAATCAAACATCTGCACTATACTCGGAATCGAGCAGTGCTTTGATCAAGCGCTGCAATCTTTTTCATTAATTTGTGTTTGACAAACTGACACTAAACTTTCTCTGGAGAGTTACAGCACAGACGTGACACTTTAATCCACCTATGCAGGTCACTATTGGCCGAATATACTACCAAAGATACTCCCCCAGTCCCAAAGCTCATCTTTTAGGAACTGAATCAACTTTGAAAGTTTTGTTTATTATCCTTAGTTTGCACACCTTACGAATTTTCGCACTCAACGAGTAGAAAACAACACGCAGTCACACACATGTATGCTATTATCCCATAAATTCTTCCGCACTGTTATCTATTCATTTTTCTCCTACTTCATATCGCCTGTTGCTAAAAAGCTGTGCCATGTTGGAGAATGTTGTAACACTTGGACACTTCCAACATCATTGGTCGCCAACCAAGTGAAGTAGTCTCCGTTAAATTCATACCTCGTTGGACACGCCATGCATTGACCACCACGACCGCTCATTAAATATGCTCTTGATTTCTTAAACTGACGACACACACCATTTCAGGAGCTGGTGGACATCAAGCAGGCAACAATGCAAACCTGTGGAGGTGCACCGGAAGTTGGTCACAGCAGTGGGAGAAAGCGCTCGTAGCGACTCAGTGTCGCCTTTGCTCAGTATAGAGCTCGACATAACACATTGCAAGCCAACTCGTCACACTTTGAAGAAGCTGAGCTCGGCTTTGACCACATCACCGTATAATCCTTATATCTTGTCAGCTATCATCTCTTCAGCGTCCAGAGCCAGCATGTGCTAGAGGGAAATTTGGCAGGACTACAGTCAACTCAAAAGTAACCTTACTGACATCTTTGATCTCCAACCTCATTTTTCTGAGAAGCAAATATGCAATCTTCTCCCAGTAATTGGCTGAGTAACGTTGATTATTATGGTGGTTACATAAGTTGACCAAGTGATTTTTTTTGTATGACAAATAAATTATTATGAATGTCGAATGCAAAAGAAATTATGAAACTCTCCAGTGCAAATGCTCGTGCATCTATACAGATGGCATATATCAGTCAGGCGCAACAGGAATTTACTTTCATGATCTATCTCCGTTCCGCTCAGAAGTTACAAAACGTACGGTCTTGATCAATCCTTTAAAGACGTGACACGCATCCGAATATATTTAGTGGAACAACAAAGTGATTAAATGCATTTTCGTTCTGTGCAGTGATTTGATAAAATGCAAATTAATGGTTTCTGTTCCGCAAATGTTTTGGCTTAAATTTTTTGACCGCGGAAAAGCAAGTTAGAAGCAAGCAAGCAAGAAAAGTTTTAATTTGTCAGGATGATAAAACTAAAAATCGCGTATGTATTGAAGGGCACCACAAACTACTGTAGCTCAAGAGCCTCGTTACTCGTCTTAAAGTAAGTAAATTGCCGCTTTATATTCATGTATAACTCCCAATCTCTGATACTTGCTCACGATTTAGTCTCACGGCTTATCATGTGGTAGAACTAGGCAAGGGAAACCTTTGGCCAACTTACGAAAACAGACTCACGAAATTCCTAGCTTTGAAAGTGCATCCGTAGATGCTCTTCACGGCATTCTTTGAGTGGTATAATTCAGTTATTCCATTGAATGTGTCATTAATAATGAATCAAAAGTTCGGCTAGCAATACGCGATAGCATAGTTGCACAAAAAAGTTGAATCCATCTGTGCTCATTAAATTTTGTCGTACTTGTCGGATAAGTAGTGTAGCTCTTAGGAAAAATTCAAAATCGTTAAATTATGGTGTTTCTGCAATCCTCCTTCGCAAAATACGGCATCATTTTGGGCAACGAGTCTTGCAAGTGCCAAAATGTGATATCAAGCAGGACTGCGCAGATGTAATTCGTGATGATACTTATATACCATACTTTTATACTATATTTTCATACTATTATTTATACCTTACTTTTACTAAAGTACCATACTTTTGCTTAAAACCATGAATTGTTAATAAGATCAGCAAAAACGAGAAAGGGTAACTGCCTGACTGACGAGACTGCAAGGTCGAACAGGTGTATCGGGCTCTATAGGTCAGCCCTTTTCTAACAGACCACACGACATGCGTGGCTCAAAAATGATTTTCACAGCTGTTGGATCATCAAAAAAAAACTCTTATTCATTGACTCAATTAGCCATATCAGTTTCATTTTCCAATGTTTTTTATTTTAACACGCGTGTGCTACAATTCTTATCTCCTGCATCCGAAAAAGTACTGTGAATCCCTAATTCATTGCCCTTCTGCAGAGTCGCTTTGTTGCACACACTAAATACAAAATGCAAACAAGAATTGTTTAATGGTTTGTTCTTCACACTTTTCGTCCTCGCCTTAATTAGTCAACTGCTCCAGTGGGCAGCAAGGCCTACTCTCTCTTCTCTGTTGTTTAATAATGTCAATACCGGAAGGCTGTGCTTGTATCATAGGCATCCATTAATCATCTCTTCTTTGAAAATTATTTTTTTTCCATCAGGGGCACAAAGAACATCTCTGCGAATCCCTAGAGTCAGGAGGACCCACTGGGCTACTCTTGCACGCGATAGGAAAAATGGAAGAGTTGCTGGTACCCCCGCTCGAGTCACTCGACGATCAACGGGAAGACAGATGATACAGATCAAGTTGATCTAACGGGTTGTGTAAGAAAATACGAATGCCGTAGAATCTCCTCGCTCTTGAAGATAGCCGAGCGAAGACGTTCATAGGTCCTCAACTGACTGATTGCAAGAGAGCGTTGGTTGGCGATTGAACTAGAGCCTTGCTTATTACCTTGCTTCTTGGTAATTGCGTCACTAATCATTGCGTTATCCCGCGTCTGATAAATTCACTCACCATCTCTATATCGATCATGAGGATTCGACTTATTACATCGATTCTAAACACTCGGTTGATTAATCACAATTCGGCAGCGACCCAAGCGCTCAGGGCGATTAATCTCATTTGATACAAGCACGCTATGCCTGGTGATCACTTTTAAGCCACGCATGTCAGTGGTCTCTCAAAGAGGGTTGACTTATAGAGGCCCGATACACGTGTTTTCGATCTTGCGATCTCGTCAGCCGGGCAGTTACCCCTTCTCGTCTTTTGCCAATCGTGTTGAAAACGAAAGTTATGATATATTGAATATACTAGCCACGAGCAATCGAGTGTACAACACTCTGTGTTCGGTGAGTTTTTCACTGGACATAGAGTGTAAAACGTTTTCGTCGTCGCTACGTTTGTGGGACCGGAGCACCACACAGGATGGCAAAAGACGAGAAAGGGTAACTGCCCGACTGAAGAGATCGCAAGATCGAAATACGTGTATCGGGCTCTATAAGTTAGCCCTCATTGGCAGACCACTGACATGCGTGGCTCAAAAAATAATCACCAGGCATAATGAAATTTGAGCTGTGGTCTTAAGAAGACACTCGAAACAACAAGAACGCTAGTTTTTTCTCTCTGAACAAAAAAGACGATAGCTTTTCAATCGCTAAGAGACTGGAGAAGCCTTTGAACATAGCAAGATCGTAGAAGAGACTCTGCTCTATTACTCTGTAAGTGAACATTTGGAGTCGTTTTCAGGTTAACCTGTGTCTATTTTGAACCTAATGATGTAGAGTGGTGTGCAAAAACGTTTGCGTCAGCCGGGATTTGAATCCAGATCTTACTCTGGATAAGCAAAACGAGCGTCGGTGGTGCAACGGTTAAGTACGTGCTCCCGAAAAGAGTAAGATCTGGGTACAAATCCCGGTTGACGCAAACGTTTTTGCACACCACTCTACACATTGGGTTTATTCAAACATCATAACACCGCAATCGGCGGTCAAATAAAGTTCGTTTCCGATTGTGTCTATTTTAGTACTTTTTATCCCTGAAAATTCAATAATTGCCATAATTTAATGTAGCAATTGAGATTTAATTGATAGCCAACTACCAGACAAGTCTGCTACCATTTCATCCAACCCGACCCCGGAGAGATGAAAAGTTTGGTGAGCTTTGAGCCCGGGATCGAGCCATCAAATGCGTGTGTGTCGCACGACTTCTCTAACCACTGCGCTACAGTTGTCTCACGTGAATTCGTGAACAGGTGTGTACTGCTGCAGTTTCTATCTACAGTAGCAGCCAAACGATGACCGCTCACATCGTCGCGCGCGAAATTTCTTGAACGCCGTGCGCGATGCCTCGTACGAGTTCTCCAGCATTTCGATTAGAGCAAGCAATTTTATGTTTTAGGAGCGCAGATGGGCCTTTATTTTTTTCTTTTAATTGAATATTTTTGTATTTTAAGTGCTTGTTGAGGTTTTTTCTATTTATTCATTTATACGACCCGTTATAACAACTTTTCGTGTGCGGAAACCAGTACTTCTAGCATTCGATTCGTTTTTTTCGTCTTCTTGAACGACGTAGAATATGGTCGAGCATGTCTCCTTGCGATCTCGAGGTTAGCCAGGCTGTGGCGTTTCATAGAACGTTGTTGTTGACTGCCGGAGAGTGCTGAGGGATGGAGCTGGGCTCCTCGCGCGCCGCGACGAGCATCACAACCACTCGGCCACGTCGCTCCTTTTAGATTTTAGCCTATTCAAATCATTGGTAACTGCATTGTGGTCTGGTTACTGTAGCTCGTTGAAATCTTTTATTTATTCATCGATTTTTAAAGGAAAAAAAATCTAATTCAAGTAAAAACTCTCGCCACCTCGCTCAGTCCTCTGATGGTTTGTCGGTAAGGTTCCTAGGTTCCTCCTTTTCTCTCCGCCGATTCGATTCATTCAGCTCAAGAGAAATTCGAGAGAGTTGTAATTTATCGACTTTCTGTGATCTACGTGTGCCTATTTGTTCTGTGTATCATCCACATATTTACTTGTCTGAGCATAAATGGATGCGAAATTACTAGGATATCTAGAAAAAGTTTGAGCGGTATGCAAAACATCCAGCCTCAGGCGGGAGTCGAACCCGTACTTCACCCATACAGGAGACGCGTGCCACTACACCATCGGTGTCATCGCTCTGCTACCACTTTTTCTCCAACGTAACCTATAGTAGCTGACACCATCCAACCTTTAATGGGTTCGGTCGGTTAAGTGCATATCGGCATTGAACCTAGTTTTGCTTGTTGGTGGCGAACGGTGGCATCGATGGTGTAGTGTTATCACGCTCCCTCGGCAAGAGTGAAACGCGGGTTCAACTCCAGTCCGATCCGATGTCGAATGCTTTTGCGTACCACCCAATGCATCTAAGTGTAATTTTGGCCATGCTAAAATTCAGTGAAAGATGGAAATTTCGAACTTCCCCTTTCGGAACCGTGGATCCACCTCCTCTGCGTCTCTAACTCCTCACGTGGGAACACATTGAATGTAGAATCGTATTATTTCAATTGTATTATTGCCGTTAATTTCCTATGGTATGTTGTTATAAGTCAGAAAATAACAACAATAATATTTTGAAATAGTACGATAATGCATTCACTGCTTTCCCACGGGGTGCTGGAGATGCAGAGGAGGCGGAGCAGACCGTCCAGCGTTGCTACGCTGGGCGTCAGAGACGAAGAGGAGGTGGGTCCACGGAATCGAAAGGGTTGAAAACTATCAGAGTTGGCAGACAATGCGTTATAGCGTTGAAAGAGTGCTGTGCAAAAAGAGCGTCGGTGGTGCAACGGTTAGCATACGCTCTCAAAAAAAGTGATATCTGGGTTCGAATCCCGGCTGGCGCAAATGTTTTGCACAGAAAATAATCCGTGTTGCGCGAGTAATGCTTCGATGCTTTTAGTGAACGCGTTGTGTTTTCTCTACAGGTTTGACTTTTCCGTCATGATTTCTCCATCATGCACTCATTTCGATACATACAGGTAGTCGTCATGGCGTCAATTGTGGCTCCATGTACCAGCAGCCGCTATAGTATGTGTGAAAGAAATCTCGGTCTTATGATGGAAGTTATTCGGAAGGATCCAGAATCATATAAAGAGGTTTGCGTGTTTACTTGTATTTCATAAAAAATTCCAGGTTCTCTAGTCTACAAAAGGCGCTTGCGGCATAGTGGTTAGCCCTTTCAGAACCGTGGACCCACGGCCTCTGCATCTCCAACCCCTTGTTGTGCCAACGCTGGAAGGTCAGCTCCACCTCCTCTGCATCTATGACTCCCAGCATTGGGATTATTGTCTGTCTTACTCCTCATTACCACTCGGCACTTCGTCTATCACGAAGAATATTGCCGGTTCGATCCGCTACCACGACGCTTAACTGTAGTTTTTTTGTCTTTTTTTCTAAAATCGATTAGTATTGAAAGTTCTTCCTATAACGATTCGAATATATTTTAGTGAAAACAAAAGATAAGGATAAAGGATAAAGCTCTCGGCGTTGATCAATCCCTAAGGGATGCGCCATGCATTCGACTTCAATTTTTTTTTTAACTTCGTTTGAGGTGATTGAATGCACATCTGGCCTCTACAATGACTCGCGGTGGCCTCCCGCTGAACCGAGTCAGTGCTGCTTATCCTCCCAGACAAGTCTGAGACCTGTCTGGTACCAATTTACCTACCCCGGAGGGATGGATGGCTTGGTGAGCCATGAGCGCGAAGATCGAACCAGTGACCTCGTGTGCGACGCAGGGCACCTCTAACCACTGCGCCACATGCGCTCCTATTTAGTTTTTTTAGTTTTTAGTTTTAGTTTTCCTATTTAGTTTTTTTTTTATTTAGTTTTCAACACACTCTGGTGAAAACAAAAGATACCACCAAAAAAAACTAGGGCGAAGCGTCGTGCTAGAGGATTGAACCAGCAACCTTCTTCCCGATAGACGGAGTGCCGAGTGGCAGAGAGATGTGGAACAGACAGTGATTTTCCCCTGGAGGTTAAAAGTGCAGAGGGATGGAGCAGACCGTCCAAAGCTTTCACTGTGGAGGTTACAGACAGAGAATTCGTGGGTCCACGGTCTCGAAAGGGTTAGAGGTGCCCTACGACGCGTAAGTGATCGATGGGTCAATCTTGCGCTCAAAACTCACCAGACCTTCCACAATTCCTCTGGGGTCAGTGCATTGGTTTCAGAATTGTCTGAAAAGCAGCACCGAATACATAGATGAACCACCACGAGCCATTGCAAAGGCCAGATATGCACTCAATCGTCTCTAACGAATCTCGATGAAGTCAGATGCATAGCGCACCCACAGAGATTGATCAATGTCGAGAGCTTCATCATTTCTCTATCTTGTACACCTAGGAAAGTATCAAAGAATGTTAAGTGATGAATGAAACTTCGAACCGGGAGTTGAACCCGCGTCTTACTCTCTCCGTGGCTCATTCTAACCGGTAAACTACGTGGGCTCTTGTTAAGCTATCACTTGTCCTATGATACCAAGCATAGGAGCCGTCAGCGATCAGTCGGACAGAACTGTTGTACGGGGTAAGAACGGAGGTATCTCTTTGTACGCTATGTGAATTCGCGTATACAATGCGAATTACGTTGACAACTGGTCTGCCCCCTTTCTCTTCCAGTTTTGTTAATCAAATTGCTCTTCGTAATGCCAATATGTTAATCGACTGTATCTAAGATCTTCCCAAATGGTTTATCTCCTCATCGTGGCTGGAGGATGTCCGCGGGATGGACAACGAAATATGGTGGCGGTTCAACCCCCTAGCATCCCCACCTAAGTTAACAAAGAGTCTCTGCTCGGAAAGCCCGGCTAAGAGTAATCTGTAACCAGAATGACCGCGGTCTTGATAGCTACTAGCCGAAAGGTGGTAATCTCCCTCCAATCCACGAGGGTTGGCGACTGCGCTAATGTGGTGACGACCTGAGGAAGCTCAAATTAGGCTTGCCGCGGGATTCCAGAGCACAAAACAGCTAAACAAGCATAATTTCCTGTGCTGGGGTCCGCAAAGTCGTGGAGATGGAGCGTTCAGATAGATATTTATCTGATAATACTGAGTGCAACTTTCGAGTGGGAGTTAGACCCGCGTTTCACCCATAACAATGTCTGAGTATAGTCATAACATGCGCGCCCGGTATAGATGAAACGCGATCTCAATCCCGCCTGAGGTCGAAAGTTTATGTCACTTAGCATTCTCGAATATATGATCCTATCATCATAAAACTGTTATAAGAGCACATGTGGCACAGTGGCTAGAGGTGCTCTGCTCGCATAGAAGGCCGACGGTCCGATATCGCGCTCATGGCTCATCAAGCCATCTATCCCTCCGGGGTCGGTAAATTGGTACCGCACTGGTCTTATACTTGTCTGGGAGGATAAGCAGTACTTACTCGGTACATCAGGAGGCCTTCACGAGTCACTGTAGAGGCCAGATATGCATTCAGTCACCTCAAACGAAGTCAGAAATTGAAGACGAATGCATGGCTCATCCTTCAGGGATCGATCAACGCCTAGAGCTTTATCCTTCTTTACCCCTTTGACAATAGCGAAAATTGAAAATTCTTGTAGATCTTAGTGGAATTCTGCTTATTTTAGGCATCGGTTAAGGCCTCATTAACAAAACGTTTATCTACAGGAATTCATGGAACAGTTCGATCACTATCTTCATACTATGAAATTGCTCCAATTACAACCAAAACAACACCGAATGGAATTGCAGCCTCTGCTGGAGTCTGTGACATTTCTCTCGGGGCTTGCTAAGTACTTCCCAGGTAAGTTCTAATTCAGAAGGTTCCTATGTGGTTTCCACGATTCCTGAGAAGCGTCTGGAGCAGTGGTCAGAGGTGCTCTGTGTAGCTTACAGTTCTTGGTTCAGTCCTGCGCTCAAGGCTTATCAAGC